TACTCAGAAATGTACCTTATATACGTATGAATATATGCATCCCCTGAAGAAAGAAATCACCATAATTATAATCTTTAGTTTTTAATCGACATTTTGTAGAAAATAGGCCCAAAAAAGATTATTGTACATGTATGAATTTAAATTTAGTTGGTTCAACTTTATTATTATGTAATAAAATTATAATTTCAACTGCAATCATTATGTTGACCCTAATACCATGCTAGATACTGGATGGTCGAGTTTACTAATGAATAGTGGGGTTGAAGGGTAAAACTGCTACATAACATATATATACACCCGTCTCTAGCATCGATTTTTTGGGGACCCCCCCCCCTTCCCCCAAAATCTTTGTAAACAGTTTATTAGGTAAAAAACGTTTAATACATATATAATGAAAAAGTAAATGTAGCATTTTAAAAGCACACTTTGAGGTAATGTTTATAGTATATGTTTTTTTTTTTGGGGGGGGGGGGGTGATTGATTGATTGTATGTTGTTTTACGTCCCATTCAAGAATTTTTCACTCATACTTAGCACTCAAGGTCATTGAGCAGTGAGGGATCTTTATCGTGCCAAGGCCTGCCGTGACATGAGGCCTCGGTTTTTTAAGGTCTCATCCTAAGGACCCGCAACTTTCACTTTAAAGTGCCGAGCGCTTGGGGAAGGAACAGTTGCTACCTATTTTTTATCGACTTAGGTCAGTCGCGGCCGAGATTCGAACTCACGACCTTCCGATCACGGAGCGAGCGCTCTATACCGACTGAAGGGCGGATGGAGAGAAAGAAAAGGAGGAATTTTTGGTAATTGGTTGAGTTTACCTTTTTTAAAATGTTTGAAATTAAAGTTCAAATCCCATGCAGAAGTACATTCTGTACTTTGATTCTTTTTGTGAATGTACATATACTTGATTTTACTTTTATTCTGACTTACTGAATTAAAAACAGTTCAACAAATAAGGACCTGTTGCAAGCTTCATACAGAAATGAATGCGTGGTTACCATTATATTTTACATACATGTATATTGAAACACTGGATTTGGTTTTGCCCTTATTATTAGAAAATTGACTTGGATTCAAATAAGAAAAATTATAACAAAAAATGGATGTTATTTTTTGTCGTCTCTTATGTTTGTATAATGTTTTATCAAAATCAACTGTTAGTTTTAATTTTTCAGGGTCTTGAAACTAATATTAAAGAGAGTAAATTTTAATCGCCTATTGTTCTTCATTATGTTGACAAAGTAGGAAATAACATTGTCTTTATTTGTACATGTAAGGCTCATTATTCTAATTGTATTATAGAGAACTAAGATTTAATTTTACAATTGGTAATCCAACTTACACTCATAGTTCGCTTTCTAAGGAGGAAATTCTTTAAAATCAAATGCCAGTTTTAAATATGTTTAATATTCTATCAAATTAAATCCGAGTTTATTATACTTATGGTGGATTCCTAAACTACATAAAAATCCTTACAATCAAAGATACATAGGATTTCCAGTAATTGTTCTACCAAACCTCTTTCTTTCCACCTCACCAAAATATTTACAGCAGTGAAGGAGAAACTTCAGGATTACTGTATATCATATTCGAGAAGCGGTGTTAATCAAATGTGGATACTTAAAAACTCCAAGGAACTTTTTGAAATATTTAATTAACATAATATATAAGGAGTGAGCCCATCCCGCAGTTTACCCTGAAATGAAGATCCATTTAAAACATGTACATTCACTGGAATTCCGTTGGACACTAATTGTGCTCCTTTGATAGCTGATCTGTTTTTAAATTCATATGAAGCAGAATTTATTCAAAAACTTCTACAGAAGAAGAAGAAAACACTTGCTGTGGCCTTCAACTCGACATTCAGATATATTGATGACGTTTTATCTATTAACAAAGGTTACTTTCATTCATATGTCGACTCGATATATGTCCCATTAAACTCGAAATAAAAGACACCACAGAGTCTGCAACATCATTTTTCATATTTGGATGTTTTATTGATTATGGGCGATAAGATCAAACTAACAACTACATTGTATGAAAAACGAGATGACTTCAGCTTTTCAATCCTCATTTTTCTTACTTATGTAGTAACATTCCACAACCACCTGCTTATGGTGTTTATGTCTCCCAACTTATTTGATACTTAAGAGCATACCGAGACAAACTACAAACAAATAAGTTTATTTAACAGAGATTTTTTTTAAAAGATTTATTAAAGAGATTTAAAGTCAGCATTTCGTAAATTCTATGGTCGTTGTAATGAAATCGTTAGCAAATACTATCCTTGGGTTGTATTTTGACAGATATATTTCATAGCAATTGTTAGGCCTTTGTTTGACTAGATTACCCCGTCTACCTAATCAATACATAGGGCTCACGGCGGGTTTGACCGGTCAAAAAGGGATGCTTACTCCCCCTAGGCTTCTCATCCCACCTCTGAAATTTCCAGAATTCCGTGTTTTATGTCCTGTTTACTGATATGTATAGTTTGTAGGCTTTTTTTTTTAGATCGATCACTTTTCGTTACCTTCACCTATTTTATAATAACTAGGAAAATGTCAACTAAGAACATGACATCGCTGATTTCTTCATTCACTTCTGATATCGGATAACGGAAATGATAACGATTTCGTCAGGATGATTAAGATTTGAACGTTGACTTGACAAAGTTAAATATTTGAACAAGAACTAGATCTAGAACATAATGTAGAACAAAGATCATTTGAAGTAAGAGTGCAAGTCTGCATCCTTAAATTTTATGATAAAAACTAGTAAAAATATAAATATTTATACAGAATGAAAATAATGGCTCTCATCTTTCATCACAGATGACGAGGTGACATTTGATTTAGCAGATGTGGCCAATTTTTATACAATGTGAATTTTTCTTCGAAATAGAGAAAGAGAACTAGAACTTGGTCTCCTGTTAAATCATAAGATACACAGCATTATGTAATGTTTTTCTAGTCAACTACTGTAGCATTAAAGAATGAAAAGGCTGGAAATGGTTTATAACAGGTTCATTGGTGACACCAATGTATTTTATTTGTAGGTACAAATTATGTTTGTAGGAATAACAATAAAGTACCATATTATAGAAACACATTGGAATTAGTTTAAATTACACAAATCACTTTTAAAAATATGCACGTATGTCAAATAAACTTAAATACTTTGTTAGAGGTCACACAGAGAGCATGTTCGTAACAATCGTAACCATTAATATATACATCCTTCAAATGTCTTTTTGTTACCGTGATGTGTAATCTATCCAGGTGGAAAATATGTATGTTATACATAAGGATTTAATCCCTGCCAGGGTTCACTTCAATTGAAACCCATACTGATATATAAGTATGTTCATTCATTACTGAAAAAAATGTCATAGTTTATTTTCTTACTTACTTTTGCCTTCATGGAATTGATACATGTAGCAAATACACTTTCGTCAGGACAAATTTCCTGCATTTACCTAATACAAATACTTAACATTTTGAACACTTAACTAGGAAATAATGAATAATGAAGAATAATCAGTGTCGAAGTCTTGCTTTTATCTCATGTTTCATAGACATACAGATTGTTAATATTGACAAAAGATCTACGCATAGGTTTTATTCATTTGTTTGTTTGTGTTTTTTTTTTTTGTCTTATGGCAAGTTCTACCCCCCCCCTTTCCCCAATATCAGGAGAGTAAATGGCATTTGTATAATTGTGTCTCTCTGTCTTTCACAGAATTTGTGTCTGGGAAATAAGTCCTTGACAATTGATTAAAATGTATTCAATCTAAAGTATGTTGTTGCCAATGACTTAGCAATATTTCAAAGTTAGTGATCACTGGGGAAGTAGGCAACAAAATGCTGTCAGGGCTATAACTCTCGAAATCTTGAATTAAAAAGAGATGCCTATGAGCAAAACATAAGATTGTGACTCAAAGTTACTGAGCTATAAATTGTGAAGTGGTGTCAGGGCCATTATTCTAACCCTTGTTTGCAATGAATTCAATTTTTTTTACTACTGTCCATGACATAGATCATCAAATATGAAGGTGATTGTGAAAACTGAGGTCCATAGCTCTCGAACCCTCGACTGCAATGATTTCAAACTTAAACATGTTGTTCGAATACTATATGTTCTTTCAGGTAAACAGTCTATTCTTTTCATTTTGCTAACTTATTAATTTAGAACATTATTTCTATTGAAAGTACAAGAAACACAAAAGATTACGCCTCAGTCAATATATTTAAACACAGCATAAAACACGGCATAAAATGTTATACATATTTTAAATCCGACAAATGTAGGCAAAACTAAAAATTAAATAAATTTAAATCATTGTCCAGGCACGTAGAATCGTTTTTGAAAGGGGGGATAATTTACAACTTATCTGGAAAATTATTGACAAGCAAGTAAAAAAATAAACGGAAATTGTCCAAACTCGAAAATATCCTATTTCGTAGAGAAGGGGGGGGGGGGGGGTCCAACTTTTGCGACAAAAATACTTGGAGGATTAAACTAAACTGAAAAAGGGGGAGGGGTTGAAAGGGCAACTCTGCCTTTCCATGAACATTTCCATACTGAATTAACCGTAAAAAAATTAATGTTGAAAAAAAGTGGGACAAGCCCCCCCCCCCCTTTTCCAACACTGCGTGCCTGTTGGCCATACAAATTACTATGTTCATCAAGAATTACACTTTTCAGGAGGAAGAATGAAACTCAAAAAGAACTTAAAAACTCTTTCTTTCATTAAAAACAAATAAACAAACAAAACAATTAATTAATATCTCTTTCTTTCATTAAAAACAAACAAACAAAATGTTTAATTAATATCGTCTATCCAATTATAGGCTTAGAATTTAAGATGAATCGCACGTATGTTTGTATGCATGATGAAATTAGTATAGTGCTGACGCTTCCTAAAGCGATCGTGTAAAAACGTGCGGTCAGAAAGTAGAACGATGTGGACGCCTTTATTTAAATAGCTGTGTATCTGGTCAACAAGTAGCAGTGACCTAAACGAAAAGGCATGGAGCAAAATGGCGAGGGGAAACCAAAGCAGCCTGTTATATTTGACGGAATGGCATTACCACCTTTTCCTCCATTGGTAAAAGATGCAAAGGGGAGGTTTGAAGAAATAAGAGATCTACATTGTAGAAAAGATGACGTCCTATTGGTTATCTATCCGAAATCAGGTATTTACAGACATATATTTTCTGTTTGTGTATATAGTGTCAGCTATATTTATAATGTCGACTTACTTTTTTGCATCTACGGTAGCATGAAACAAATTGCTTTTGACTCTCCAAAAGATTTAATAGAACGACTAATTGTTAAATACATGTACGCCGTGCATCTGTGTTTGGAAAATTCCTTTCAACAACAGATGTGGAACAAAATCAAATACAACTGTAGTTTTAGTAATAATTTGGTTTCTTTTTTGTTTTAACAAATGATATTGTCATAAGGATACGAAGATTTTGTAAGGGGGTGAAAATGATTGACATAACATGGATATGTTTTCCTGTGACATCTTTATTATTAGCTTTTAGTGTTGTGTCAAGTATATATCGATTAGAGCTAGCTAAGTCGTTTCTGATGCTTACACACACCATAAAGGGGTCAAAAGTTCAATGTCTGACCAAAAAAAAATAGTAATAATAAAATAAAATTATTTAAAAATAAATTTAAAAAAAACAAAGAAAAACCTAAATTTAAATAGATATCCTAAGATCCTCATCCCTCAAAACAAAATGTTACAAGAAAACATTGATGTAACCATCAATTGTCGCCCGGGAAATAAATAAAGTAAACAATGGAAATGAGTCTTTATCATCAAACCGCTTCAATATGTGTGAAAAAGGCATGCGTCTAAATGATGAAGACGATAGTCGAGAATCTTTTGAAAACTTATAGTCGGATGAAAATCGAACAAAAACGATACCCTTTTAAACTTTATCAATTCCTCAAGTAAATGTTGGCTGCATAAAATATAATTTGAGACACATGCATCACCTATTTTCAAAAATATCTTTCACTTTAAGAATATAAAACACGAACTGTGTAAAGTACATTTTTACGTTTTGATGCGATAAGTAAAATTCGATGTTCTAATAAAAGGGACCTGTCGTTTTTTCGATAGTAAATGATAAGCAACTTTATATATTAAATATGAAAAACATATATATTTTTACAGATTCACTTTATGGAAGTAAATATATTGTGTATCTCGTAATTTATAAAGGGAAAGAACATTCTGATTAACAATCTTTTTAATGTTTAGAAAACCTTTAATTCTGAATAACTTCTCCCACCTCAATCCCCATATACCAACACTTAAACTTATATGTATAGAGCAGCCCGGTCCTCCGGACTGCAATGAATTATTATAACGATTTAAGTGCTATCATCAAGTTCTTAAATAGCGAACAAGACGTCATGACACATTCCTTGATATACGTAAGTGCCTAATATACCAACAATGCAATTGCTTTTCTACGGAAGCCGGTAGGTGCCAGGTAGAAAAATATTTTATCTGGCGGCCGCCAAATAATTTTCTGGCGGCCGCCAGATAACTTATCTGGCGGCTGCCAGAAAGTTATCTGGCGGCCGCCAGAAAATTATTTGGCGGCCGCCAGATAAGTTTCTGGCGGCCGCCAGAAAGTTATCTGGCTGCTGCCAGATATAATATTTTTTCTACCTGGCACCAACCGGCTTCCGTACTTTTCATAACGCCATGTTCACTGAATAACGTAGTTTAAAACTTGTACTGCATTCCAAGGACAGAGAAAATGCTTACAACATTATGTCATAAAAGAAATAATTTATGAAAAAATGTCAGCATAATTACCTCAATAACAAACTTTAATTCCAAATGAATTACAAACAGTATTCACGATATTTTATGCCTTCGTGACAATTTCCTCGTCAAAATAAAACTACATAACTGTATAATAGACTTTATAAATCTAGCAGATAATCAGTTATATAATGTCTTCCTGGGAATGCGGCGGTCAGGCAGGTTCGATCGCCAGTGGTTCACCTGACTATTCACGGTGCCCAGGTTCGTATCCAGGTTTGCGCCGTTGTTAGAGAAAGATTGCCCCCTACCCCGCGAAATAGGAACGAGTTTGAGCAGACTCACAATCTAGCACAATCTTCCACCTCAGATTATTAGCAGAATAATAATCATGTAAAAGCTTGTACTTGAATAAGCGGACAAGAAACATCACGAAATACGCATTAATATGATTTCCAAACGTTTCCAGTTTTTTTTTCCTAGAAGAGTTCTGCATATTTGCAATCTAATTAAAATTAGATCTTTGATCCGCTCCAACTAGATCGCTACACAAAGTGTAGTAGTTGGAGCGGATCAAAGATCTAATTTTAATTAGATTGGCATATGGGATGTTTATCTCCCAGTTTATTCATTATGCAAAAGCATGCTCCATATACATGTACGAACAATTTCTAAAACGAAGCAAGCTATTGACAATCAAGTTGATGAAACAAGGATATCAAGAGTCTCGTTTAAAGTCATCAGTTTGCAAGTGCTATGGTCAATACAATGACTTTGTCTGCAAATACAATCTATTATTAATTCAAATGCTGACTGACGTTTTTCATACTAATTTTTAGGTTATTATATACGCACTGATTTGTCTACGGATTTCTTTGTTTTTCCCATATCATGACAAGGAGCACACGGCGGAAGGGTTTCCCACTCCTCCGTGGCACCTGATCCCACCTCTGATATTTTACAGGTCCGTGTTTGCCTGCTCCTGATTTGTATTGTTTGAATGGAGATTTTGAACTTGAGCAGTATTCGTTATCTCCATATTTCATGTTATACCTTTTTTTCATTTTTATAACAAATCAATAAAAATGGAGATATTTAAGCATGAATGTTTTGCAAGTTTAAGAATGATTCGATATCTTGATCTTTTCTTCCAAATTCCACACTGTGCATTTATTTAGGATATACCTATTTTGTCTGTTTCGGTCAATCGTTGGATATTAAAATAAAAATCTTAATTAGAGTTGTAGAACCACACTGAATCAAATTAATATTCAGACATTCCCAATGTGTGTGACTGTAAGAAAAAAAGTTAAAGACCACAGTTTATCAGAGATATGCAAGCCTAATATAAAACTTTGTTTATCGAAATTATGACTGAATATTCATGAAAAAGAATTAATTTGCAAAAGTCTTCCAATCTGTTTTCTTCAAGACAATAAAAATAATTTAAAAATCATAAAAGGAAATAAAGAATAATAGTATAGATGATAACAGAATTTTATTAAATATGCACGTTAAAAAGTGGGTAGATGAAATTGGTTCCCTTAAACCTAGTGTTAATGATTCTAAGAGTTTGTCAAATATAAAATGTAAGGATAACCTCGGCTGTTCAAAATGTCTTGCAGGTGATAACATACATTGAAATGTTTTGGGTTTTTTTTTCACTATTTTATAAAAGTATTTGAATTTCATTTGACCTCATTTTAATTTACAGGGACACATTGGGTCTGGGAAATCGTCTGCATGTTACTTAAAAAGAAAGCCGAATACATGAAGGAAACTAAAGAGTTTTTCTTTCTGGAAGCTATACCAGACATGAGTGTAGTCCATAATCTCGCATCACCAAGACCATTGAACACGCATGTTCCCTACAGATGGCTACCGAAGCAACATATAGAAAATGGCGGAAAGATTGTCCATGTTCTGAGGAATCCTAAAGATGTCGCCGTGTCGATGTTTCATCACTTTAACAATACTAAAGAATTTGGTGAACCTATAGACTTCAAGACGTTTTATGAGAGAGTTTTCATGGGCCCAGGTAAGACCAAATGTGCCCCGAAAGCACGAACATCGTTTTTAGAAACATAAACTTTGAAAGGTAATAGTCTTGCTACATGCACAGTATACTGATTGGTTTATACATGTGTAAAAACATTTACAAAGGCGTAAGGCATATGTGAGTCTTCCTTGTAAAATATTAATTGTTTAATTTGAGCAAACCATGCATATACATAAAACTGTTTTTTTTAAAGTACAACTACTTTTTTCTGACGCCAATCCATGTACGTGTTCCTCTAGTTTTGACACTAAATTATTCAAAGGACGTACGTGCATGTACAGAGTCGTCGACGGTCGGTCTACAGTATGCATAATTTTGAGGGGAAAAATTCATGCTTTTGACCACCCTTCTAATTAATAATGTTTTAAATTAATAAGATGAGAAAATTATTAAATACGCTTGCTGTTTATCAGAGATAAAATACCAAAAATATTTTTTCTTCCAGTTCCGCTATTTGGAGGCTGGTTTTCATATGAAAAGGAGTTTGAACAAGCGGAAGCAAAAGACACACGTTCTGCAATTTTCACATTGCATTACGAGAGCTTAAAAAAGGTATATCACAAGGAAAATAAAATATTAATAATCACTGCTTATTGCCATTTGAATGAATGAGAATAAACTTAACACATAATACAACAAATACATGTTTTTCCTCACTATTTAATGATATCGCAAGAATGGATTCCTACGGTTTGTATTGTTGCGCTTTGTGTTGAGCTCGACGCAAAATATCATATATAACACAAACATTATTATCAGTATGTATACGATTTTGCGTCATTATTATATTTTACACACCTCTTATGCATACAGTTTGTATCTCTCCTTATATTCTTACAAATGTAAATTTCTTTTAAATATGTTACTTTTTCCGATCTTGTAATGACTTTGTTTAATGTTTTGGTTGCTATTTAAAAAATGAGGCTGCCTTGCAAAATATTTCATATTCAATACTTCTTTAACATTTTCACAGTATCAAGGCTTTTAGATTACGTACATTACACGTCTTGGGTGATTATGTTTCTCCTACTCAGCTGTTCCATGTTACTGAGTTTTGTTATGCTTAAACTATTTTTGGTGTCGCAGGCAGAGCAGAGTGACACTTAGGGATCACTTAACCCGGCGTATGTCTATCTGTCTGTCCGTCTGTCACACCTTATATCTCAAGATCTGTAAGAGGTATGGATCTGATATTATGCACATATATTTCTTGGCACCATGGCTTTTGTAAAATACCATTGTTACTGACGTCATGACCTTTGAACTTGTCTTTTGACCTACTTTCCAAAATAGTTCATAGAGCCGATATACAATATACTTTCGACATGTAAAAGGTAAGTTTATGCTATTTATATGAAGCATGTGCACAGGTTTTCATATATATTTTGAAAAAGTACTAGCGTTACAGGTCACTTGACCTTTGACCTACTTTGCTAAAAATACTCCAGTTGGTTTGATTAAACTGATGTCTTTTTAATACTAAGAGGCATTGTTTTAATAAATAGCATTTATACATTTTTATGAGCTCGTGGCTCTGTACTTTGAAAATGTACTTTATACAGTTACCACACAAACTGAAATTTAAATACTATACAAATACATGGGATCAGTATTCCAAAATGGATCATACAGACTGACAGTTGCAGTGAGACAGATTAAAATCTCTTTTGAAGAGACTGACAGTTGCAGGAAGACAGATTAAAATCTCTTTTGAAGGATTGTAATAAAATGATAAATAATTATTTCTAATATTAGTCATTTCGATTTCATTTTTCTATTTTAGCTTTGAGTGTTAGGGAATCTATTTGTATTTTGATTGTCAGATTTTGTCGCAGTCTTACTATCCGTGGATGTTTTTCCCCTTTGCTGGCAAATGCACGAACTAGAATGCTAACAAATAGCAAATAAATAGCTGACAAGTTTTAGATTTATTTACATCTTTAAAGAAGCTATAAAGCAGAAGACACATGGTTTGAACGGATTTAAGTATAGTAGAAACAAAAAACGGCACGCTCTACTCCCAATAAAATACATTAAAGTTATATCTGGAATTTATGTGATGAATGTCAAATAAGATATCGTTTCTGATCATAGATAATTAATTACAAAATTGCTTTTAGATCATGTACAGGGTGTCCCAGAATATATGATACCATTTCAAGATTCTGTAAAACCTAATGTAATGAATATTGAATTACAACAAATGCATTATAAATATTGCATATACTGTACAATTTTATTCACATGATTTGACGGTCATTAAAAGAAAACTACAAAATGAGTTCACTTTGAAAAATGCTATGGTTTTTAAATGATGCCCTCTAAATGACGTTCTATCTGTGTAATGATAATGTCTAGATATTCCACAGAATTCCTTAACTTGAGACAACAGTGCCTGTCTCGGTAGTAACACGTTGATTTTCATCTGAAGTAAACCTTTTATGTATGTTAAGGATTCTGGTTTGGGTTTAGCAACAGTAACTTAAGACTAGGATTGATAATTACAGTTTCAAAATGAGGGTAGCTAGCTCTTTTGATAATCCATTTTGATTCAAATTACATCTTTTTGCAAAAGTTTGATGTAAATTTGATGCGCTGCAATTTCATAAGTGTGAGATTTTTTTGGAATATTTTGTTGCTATAAAATTGTACTTATTCAAATATTTTTAGAGGCATATATCAAAGAAATTGGCTTAGGGATGTGATTGTGGCAGGTATTTCAAATGGTATCATATGTTTTGGGACACCCTGTATTATAATGAGTTGTTATATTTTAACCTATTTTCAAGAATGTCTGTTTTCTCTAATTTCAGAATCCAATACAGGAAACCAAAAGGCTAGCCAAATTTTTAGACGTTGACTTGAGCGACGAGGTTTTAGCTGAAATCGTCGACAAGTGTAGTTTTAAAAAACTAAAAGAAGCCAATGACACAATGAAAGACTTTATAAAGATAGTTCCAGGCAAAACTGAAGTAAATCCTCAGGAAATTATGTCAAAATTGTATCGGAAGGGTAAGTCAAACCAACTAACTACATTGCTATTAAAAGTAGAGCACACATTGTAATACACATGTACAGCTTAGAAGGCACTTTTTACCAAGATATTAAATTAGCATGTTTATGAAATGAAACTTCAAAAATATCATGAAAATTTTACTTTAGGTATGTGTCTCTTGACATGTTTTATATCAAGTTCTTTTTTAATATTTTATTTATATTTGTAAGTATATTTTAGATAATTACTCATAAAGCATGATTAGAAATAGCTCAGAAAACTGTTTGCATGATAATAAAGACATGTATTTTGGGCCTCAGACCAAGGCTAAGTTGATCAAATATTAAAATGGCATTATATCTTTGAAAATTTTAATGAGGAATACAACTTCCTCTAAAATTGTTAAATAAATGACTAATACATGTAAGTTAAGCGTTTTGGCCCTTGGGTCGGGGTTTTCATGACCATATACTGATATAAGGTCACGATATATAATGTCTGTAAATCTCCAATATGAAAATAATCTGCAATGAGCCCTCTTACAAAGGAGCTCTATATTAAAGTTGTGAAATTCACGTCATCTTAAAAGTAGTTTGAAATTACTTCTTTAAAAAAGTCTTACTCAGAAGAGGACTTCTGATTTTAAATCAGTGTAGTTTTTAAAGACGTGATATTTACAAGTATATAGACTTTGCTATTTGAACGAAGAATACCGTGTGCTATTTATGTCAATCCTATGGAAAACACAGTTTGATAAACTATAAAACATTGTGTCCTCAGAAATATAACTTGATGATATTTGTGGTAATGATGCTTTCAACTAAATGTAAATGTGTTTTCTTTTTCAGGAGAGATTGGGGATTGGAAGAATCATTTTACTGTAGCTTTGAATGAACATTTTGATGCAGTTTTCAAAGAAGAGATGAAAGACTCTAAAATTCAAGTACAATATGAATAAAAAATTCCCTACATACAGAGGACTTCCATTATGATAGCTTGAATATGTCCAGCAGAAGGCAATGTCAAGCCGTGTTAGATTGAAAAACTAAGAATTTCTTTAAAGTCGTTCAAAATGCCTTAAAACATAGAATGATATACAAATCCTTGCAGATGAATTGTTTTTACTTTCGATTTAATTTGATTTAATGCTCCTTTCAAACGTTTTCATAAGTAGACAGAAAAACTTAAATCTGAGAGGAGTAACAAGAGGCTTTCTAAGTATTTGACTGTAGTGGTTCAAAGCTAGAACTGAGGTGCAGTATTCTTTTGTTTGACCGTATCATGAAGAACAGATTTAACTAAGTCAATCTTATGGTAGAATTATCTAATTTCAAAAAGAAGTTCATGCTAGCTTAGTTGGTAGAACATTCGCTCCGTAAAAGGTCGTGGGTTCAAGCCTCGGCCGCGACAAACCTAAAAGTAGATACAAACATGTAGCAACTGTTCCTTCGCCGAGCGCTCAGCACTTTGGAGTGAAATTTCGAGACTTTTCTCTTGTCACGGCAGGTGTTGGCACGCTAAAAACTCTCACTGCTCAATGGCCCTAAAGGCCTTCATCGACATCTGGTAACGTCCGATTGAGTGAAATAATCATGCAAAGGACGTACATGTAAATCTACAACAAGCTATCAATCACTCTCAAGTTACTTCGAGAAATTAGAATGTCTGAAATAACGATATCAAATAGCTGTCGTGAAATATTGAATATATGAAATAAAAAGATTCCTTCTTTATAATAGTTTGTTTTATAAGTACAAGTTAGGAAAATCACAAATTGTTTCCATCAATTACCATTGGTTGATTGATTTGTTTTACGTCCCTTGCAAAAACATTTTTCTCATTTGAGACGTCACCATATACTGGTGAAGGACTTTAAAGGGGGAGTTTCGATAAGGCCGTTTTTCGGCCCTTCACGAAATTTTATGAAATTTTGATATTTTGTAGAAAAACTCCTTATCTTCCTAAAATATGAAAATAATTTATGTTACGCATTTTCCGGTCACGTAATAATTGAAAATTAAGTATACCCCCTTTCGTATATTTTTGGAGTAGACATTTTTATATGGGGAAAGTGGATTTTTTAAACCATCAAAATCGTAAATGAAATAGGATAAATATGAATAAAGACATAAATTAACCAATTTCAATAATTTTTTTTTACGGAAAATGGTAGTTCTCTTATGCGAATGTTTTTTAAGGTGCGATATTTTTCTGGTGTGTCAAATGTTACTTTTCTTTAAAACAGGATGAATTTAACTTATAAAACGTAAACTTATATAGAAAGTTTTAACATCATAATTAATCGACAGTTTATACATAAACTTTATAATCAATATTTAACATTTTCCCATACGAAAAATGCAATGGAAAAGATGTGTAGACATGAGATAGGTAAATGTAAAAACGTCATATACAGGTATATGCAATACATTTTTATCAATGAGGTCATACAATTACGTGTTTTATAAAAATATACCTTAATATCATAAAATTAAATAAAATGTTTTGAAATAAAAAGATTAAACAATAAATGCAATATATACACAAATAAAAAGTTTATTTAAAAGCATCATATTGCTACGTAAACCGGTACATTGTAGGTGCAAGGTAAGAAAATATTTTATCTGACGGCCGCCACATAAATAAATGGCGGTGACCAGAAACTTATCTGGCGGCCGCCACATAAATAACTAGAAGCCGACACATAAGTTTCTTGTGGTGTAGACGTAATCTAATAAAACATAAATTTAAAGTTATGAGATGAAGACTTTATGAAGTGAATTTTGGTATAAGGTGTAGATTTGATCTTTGCTAATAAGGCATGAAACTCCCAGATTTGACTACAATCAGAAGTTGTAGATGTCGTTAAAGGCAGAGATTTTAAGCACCGCCTTCAAAAATACCTGATCTGTGTACCTCTGTCAGTCAAGTGCATTTAGGTACATCACTGGGTGCTACAACTTGATTGGGAAAAACACTACAATTTTATCTGGCGGTCGCCAGATATTTCAATGGCAGGCGCTAGAAACTTATCTGGCGGCCGCCAGATAATACATTTTTTTATCTAGCACCTTCAGTATATTACAATGTATTTGATAATATGAATAATATTAATTACAGTCAAAAATATTTTATCATTATACGTAATATGTGAATAGCCAAATAATGGAAAAATCTATAATACATTGAGTGTTTCCTTTTCATTATGAAACTTAGAAGTATTTGCCCATATAGAACAGCATTATATGTTTTCAGCATAACTGAGATGCCAGCCAGGACTAATTTCCTCTCGCTTCCAAACTCTCCATAGATACTTATAATAAGTTGCTTCACCAACTCAAGTCATTTCTCATTTAGAGAGTTTTAGAATTCATTATTTATGATTTGCTAGACCAAACCGCAGTTCAAAATACATGTGTAAACGCCAAAGATACGTGTTTAATCCTTAATCAGGCAGACATATGCGCCTAGACATCCAGACTTAAACAATCCACGTTCCCTATATTAACTATACGGAAATATATGGGCACTTCTCTAGCATGTTGTAGCGTGGATTTCTATTTACAAGAAAATACATATTTGTTCAGTCAATCGGAAAATGTAAGAAAGATCCAGCATCTGAACCATGTCTGGATGTGAGCAATCCTAGATGCATCATCAGCGCAAGTTTGGTTACGATAGGGCTTACAGTTACGTAAGAACGATAACCGCTTCAAAATCTTTAACCTGCTCACTCATTAAGGAAATGTAGGTCATATCCAGCATCTGAAGCAAGTCTAGTAGTGTGCATCTGTAGATGCATCATGAAGCAAGTCTGGTCAACAAGTGTTTACAGCTGCTCTGCTCCTAAAACTTAAACCTGCTTTTAAAACATTTACCTGGACATTCTTTGGCTAAAATCCAGCATCTGAAACCTTACTGGTGACAAGGAAACATGCTGGATCAGGTGACTCTGATTAATATAGGGCATAGATAAACTTGAAAAAAAATCTGCTTCAGAAACTTTAACCTGGAACACGGATGCCGACGGTATTACAAAAGCTCCCCCAACTCCGAGGAGGTGAGCTAAAAATGTGACGTTAACGTTATACGTTGGCGACAAAAAAGTATCGAAATGAAAATAGGACACGATAATGTTTTCTACTGTTAAAATAATCAAGAATCTTCTTTGATTTAAAAAAAATATGCTACTTCTGGCTTGGTATTTTAATACAGAGTCAGATCAAGAAACCAGAAGCTTCTAATTTTAGATATGCAAATTTTATGCAATTTTCAATTTTTGGATATGAAGTGCACACGCGACACTCATCATATTTCAAGAAATTAGTGTGCAGAGTATATCTAATTACTGAACAAATTTAGGTGAGTGTCCCTCATGCACTTCATATTCTAAACATCGATTTATAAATGCCACCCTCTTATATTTTCCCATAAGCCTAATGTTAACGGATTTGAGGGTACATCTAAGTATGTATCAACTACGGTGTGAATTCATCTCATATTAACTTTTGAAATAAAAATAACAAAAGTTAACATATTTATCTTGAATTCTAAACTAGTTTTGAAAAAATAAATTGAAATTTATTTTTATGAAAAAAAGTGGGCCGCTGAGCGGCCTTATCAAAAATCCCCCTTTAGACCTTTACTTAGCACTTAGGGCCATTGAGCAGTGAGGGTACTAGTATTATATTGAGCCAACGCCTTCCGTGACATGGAATCTCGGTTTTTGATGTCTCACCCGAAAAACTCATGACTTTCACTTCTAACGCCGAGCGCTTGGCGAAGGAACAGTCATACCTTTGTTTTTGTCTGACGTCAGACAGTACTAGATTTAACAAGGTTTGTTGGTCAAGTCGTTCAATAGAATTCTTGTGATAACTCGATCTTGGAAACTTCATACTTACTTAACTACCAATTGGAGAGCATGGTGATTAATGAAAACATGCTAAACACCCAAGCAAGCCAGAGCATTGGACCTATTTATTATCACATTATACATTACGCATTACATAACATTTTTGCCATTTTCGAATGCATCATTTATCACTCATCAGTGTATCTCCAGCAAAACAGCAGGAATGAAACTGGTCAGGTCAATACTTGTCGAATATCCTTATCAGATTAACTAATAGATGTTTATTTTCAATGGATGTAAAGTCTCTATACCTTTACAATTTTTTAAAGTCTACAATGACAAATTCCTAACTTTGCAGACTTTTGATTTATTCACAGATTAAAAATATCCAAGTGAAAGATAGAAGATGAACTTTGTTTTTGCTAATATTCAAAGATGTTAGCTCACTTGTAACAAGTTTTTTTATTTTAAAAAATCACAAACTGTTCACCAATTGATGTTTAAATTATGTATTGTAAGTTTTTCTTTCAAAAGCACAGGTGATATACATATATTCAGGAACAGGCCAAGTGGAAGAAATTTCACGGGGGAGGGGGTTCACAACCTAAAATCTTCAGTTGGGGGTACCATCAAGAAAAAAATTCCTTATCAAGCAAAATGAAGTTATCACCATGCTTTATTATTTACATGATCATGATTTAGGGAACAAGTAAAACGTAGCAATGTTTTCTGTAGCATATTAATATTATTTATCGGCAAAATATTGGGGGGGGGGGGTCCCGAGCCGTCACATCCTCTCCCCGGTTCTAACCGGTTCCAACAGCCATGAAAAAAAGTGATTCAGTGTATATGGAATAAATCCATGTCTGAGTATTATTTGATGTTGATACCACTGGATTGATCAGTCTTGTTTCTTAGAAATATAATTTATTTCTGGACTCAAGAGTTATGTTGATTAAGTGAAATGTATGGAGATAACGAACAGTATTCAAGGTCAAAAGTCCATTAAACAATATATACAAATTTTGGAGCAGAGCAAACGCGGGCCTCCAAAAAGGCTGGATTTAAATTTTCTTAATTTTTCGTATAATGATAAATTTGCTCAGGTCAGACAAGCTTTTTAAAGAAAGCTAATACTTGTAAAGGTCTTAGGTTTGACGCGGCGCCGGGAACGAGAATTGAACCAAACACAAAGCGAGCACCCTTCCACTTACTCCAGCATGCTAGAGGTTCACGGCGAGATACTTTTGACTTGGCGCCGCGTAACCTCTAGCATCCATTGTAAAAATTCTCGCCGCTGAAATCCGAAGTGGAAATAAATTGTTTAATTAAAAATTCAGGTTTTAAACATTAACGAATGACACGAAACAATAAAATATTCACTATTTGCGATAAAATTTACACATAAAACAATGTTAA